GCAGCTCAGCGGCTGCTCAGCTCGGGCTGGACTCGAACCGCTGTTGCTCAGAGCTCAAACTCTTGAGCGAGCTCTTAACCAACTGAGCCACTCGGTCGGCCCCTGATTTCTTTAGTTTTTACTTAATGTGCTTTCCTATTCCCTGATCCCATCCAGGATACCACATTACATTTAGTTATCAGGTCTCCTAGGCTCGTGTAGACTGTGACAATTTCGTGGATTTTCCTTGTTTTTGATAACTTTGACAGTTTTGAGTATTGACCAGGTATTTTATAGAGTGTCCCACAATTGGGTTTTCCCTGATATTTTTCTCATGGTTAGACTGGGGTCATGTGTTTTCGGGAGGAAGACCGCAGGGGACAAGTGTCATTTTCATGACATCATGTGAAGGAAGTACACACTATCAACATGCCAGCACTGTTGACCTTGATCACCTGGCTGAAGCAGTGTCTGTCAGATTTCTACCCTCTACAGTTAATTCCCCCCTTTCCCACACTATAATCTTTGGAAGAAATATACTATAAAGAGTGGAGGAGAAGAGAGTTATTCTTTGAAAACTTGAAGATTACTTAAATCTTCTATTTGTCTATTTTCCCCACGTATTTATTTATTGAAGCACTTGTTTATATCAATGTAGTGGTCTATGCATTTTAAGCATCTTAGTTTCTAGATGTTTCTCCAGAAGTGCCCCAGTTTACATTCCCAGCAGCAGTATATTGGTGTTCATAAGTATGCTCATTTCTCCATAGCGTTAACACCAGGCATTGGAAATCTTGTTAGTTGTTGCTAATCCAGTAAGTGAGAAGTCATAGCTCATTATTTTGATTTGCATTTCTTTGATTACTAGTAAGATTTAGTCTGCCTACATATATTAATAGGTCATTTTTATGATTTTATTTTGTATTTTCCAGGTCATGACCTTGCCCATTTTCTTACTGAAGTATTTGTCTTTTTTACATAAACTGAAAAAGAAAAACTTTTTCTTTCCTTATGAAAATATTAACACTCACCTGCCATTCATGTCACATATATTTCTCTAATAAGTGATTTGATGTTCAACTTTGTAATGTAGGGTTCTTTATGCCAAGTAGATTTAATATTTTTGTGTAGCCAAAGTTATCAATCTGTTTTATGATTTCTCTCTTTTGTGCCAGGTTAAAAATATCTTTCGACTCCAAATACTCTTTACCATGTTCACTCACATTTTCTTTTTGTACTTTTATTATTTCAGTTTTATAATTTTATCTTTGAGTCATCTGGAATTTATTTTATAGTAAGGTAAAGATTCATCTTTGTTTCCAAGAGATAGTTAGGTGGTGGTATAATATATATATATATATATATATATATATATATATATATATGATATATAAAATCATGTATCACATAGTGCAAGTGATTTGTCATGCAACCTTCCTCTCTTTCTTTTTTCTGTACTCTACTCTTTCACTGATTAATCTTGCCTGCACCAGTACCAAACTATTTAGAGTACTGTGACTTTATGGTATATTTAAACATCTGACAGAGCAAACTTTCCCTTGAAATTCTTCTGATGTATGATTTTCATAGTTAACCTTATATATTTACCCTTCTGTAAAATCACTTTGAACATTTAAAACATATGAATAATACTCTAATATACTGCTTTATAGCTTACATAACACTTTCCCATATATTATCTAACCTTCAACTCACAACAGCCATATGAATTAGTTAATCATTTTTACAAAGAGTTAAGCAAACGTTGTGAGATTCAGAAACATCAAAGGCTATTCAATTAGAAAGTGGTAAAACAAGAATTCAAACCAAGGTCTCCTGACCACAAATCCAAGGCATATGGCTTCCAATGGTAACATGAGTACCATCATTATCCTAGTCCCATAGATGACATTGTTATATTTAATGAGCAGTGAAATAGTCCCAGAACCATCTATAATATTAAGTAATTATTTATCTTTTCTTGTTCTCAGTTTATTCATCAGTAAAGTAAAATCATTGGGCCAGATGATTTTTATAGTTACTTTCTAACTCAAAAAGCCTGTGACTTTGTGATGTCTATGAGAGATATCCATGCCACCCATTTACTTGTTTTTCTTATCCTGCCTCTTTGTCCCCTCCTCTGTATCCTTTATGGACTCACCGTCCTCTATATTGCCATTAAATGTTGAAATTCCCCAAGGCTTTGATCAACACCCTCCTCTCCTCTCACACTGTCTTATATCTCTAGATCATGTCATCCATAACCATTACTTCAACCAAAAGTTATATACTAAGGACTCACTCAATCTCTATCTAGCCCAGACTTTTCTTTTGTACTTTAGGTCTTTTCACTCAACTGTCAGCTTGATATCTCTACTTGACTGTTTTTAAAAATCTCAAATACATTATGTCCCAAAACCAAACCCATGATCTCCCCACACCATTCTAGCCTTCTTCCAACAATTCTATCCCCATTAATGACAATACTATTTTTTCAGCTTCTCAAACCAGAAACCTAGTGCTCTGTCATTCCAAATATCAAATTCATTCCCAACCCTTATAGGTTTTATCCTCATATTTCCCTCAACCCAATTCATTTCTTTTCATATCTGCTACCACCACGCCCATCTAAGCCATCACCTCTAAAGTACTAAAATAGCACCATAACTAATTTGCATTATTTCTTCCCTAAAATTGATGTCCATACTCAGCAAGAGATATTGTTCTCAAATTGCAAAATCTGATTATCTAATCCTCTTGTTCAAAGCAACACTTCAGTGACTTCCCATTATTCGTGATACAGAACAAATGCTTCTAACACACTAATAAGACCCGCATGGTTTGTCCCTTCTTATCACCCTAGCCTCCTTGCTCTCTATGTGACGTACTTGCACTGGCCTGCTTTCATTCCTTACACACACCTGTTTGTTCCCACCGCAGGACTTTGCACATGCCACTCACTCCACTTGTGAGGCTTTTTCCTTCCACTTAAACCAGATAACTCTGATTCTTTCTGAAGATATCAGCTCCGTAAGAATTTCCTCTAAGAAGCTTCTCTCACTCATTGACTGGATCAAATTCCTCTACTACAAGGCTACACTGCTCACAGTTAAAATTTTACTAAAATGTGGATGATAATTTGAGTCGTGCCTATCTTCCCCCATTAGATGTAAGCTCCGTGATGGCAAGGACTATTTATTTTCTCTCACCATTGTATCCCAGTGCTTGATACAGGAACATGGAACAAAGAAATGTTCAATAACTTTGGTTGAATGAGTGAAAAATGAACGAGGCCATTTAGAAATAGTGAAAGCATCTGTTTTCAAAACACATGTATCAAAACTGTGAATGCATTCTGATTGACTGGGTCTCTCCAAATAAAACAAGAGATTTCAATCAGGATTCATTCCTAGGATCAACTGAACCACTGAAACTCCCATTTGCTATCAGGGTAATATTGCAACATTCTTCAAACAATTGCCATTTTCCCCCAGAATATACCTAATGACATTCCCACAAATAAACTAGGACACAGAAGGAGAAAGAAAGTAGTATTAATTTAAAATTCATCTTATCACATCACTTATACTATCAGGGCTTTTGGATAAAATTCATTTCAGGCACATCCATTTAACAAGCATTGATTGTTGCCTAATGCCTAAAAGAGGATTTGGCACATATGTGGCATTCAAATAGTTGAATGAATGAATAAATTATGCATTCTATCTGTTGATTTCTGTGTTGAGTCCTAGGGACACAAAATAAAAATGTTGTTGCAGTTGGGGTGGAGCTCACAGTGGTCTCCAAAATATGGTTGTTCATCCCAAGGAGGGATTCACAATAATTTATTAGAGTGATGGAAGAAAATATTCAAATGTCACTGTTCAGGTATTTTTCCATTAAATAATTGTTTATAAAACAGGAAAGAAAGGAGGAGGGCGGCAGAGAGAGAGAGAGAGAGAGAGAGAGAGAGAGAGAGAGAGAGAGAGTTACTATTTAACTAATGGTTGACACTGGCACCTTGTTTGGTTTTATGCCAGNTCCTCCACAACTAGACTGAAGAACAAAACGACAGCAACTTGTCTGTTCCCCTTCCCCCAATTCCCCAGCGCTGTTCCCATCCCTCCAATTCCCCAATTAAAAAAAAAACCTTAAAAAAAAAAAGATAGGCAAAAGAAACATCAACTTTCAGATCAATGAATTTTGACTCTTAATGGCACGGTGTGTCACACTTAAACACAAAGGGAGCAGCCTATGTAAATGCTCTACAAAGTGTATCCCAGTGACTACTTATGGCCCTAGAAAGACTCATCCCTTTACCACAAAAGACTACACCTACCTTCCCCCAGGATTTCCAACTCTTTCCTGTGATGGAGGTATTTCTCTGCATAAATTACATATATGAATGATAAAAGGAAGCAGGGAGTTTTTCTCAGACAGATTAGGTTATGTTCACATTCATGTTTCTAATATGTGTACAAGTGTGTTTTAGGAATTTTTGTTTCCTTCATAAAGCTAAATATGTCCTCTGGGCGACCTTTTTTTGATGAAAATAATTCACATTGGACAATCAGATTAGCTATCTTGTCAGAAGACTTACTTTCTAGCTCAGTCTAGAAAACTAATGAGAAGTTACTAATTTTTCTAAAAAAAAAGTATTATTTGAAATAATTTTTAAAACTATGCAGAATTACTTTGGGTTATTCTTTAATTATAATTTAATAATAGCATATTATAGATATTCATTAATATTTCTTGAATAAATCTGCAAACACAAATCTTCCTAAAATATAGATTGAAAATTATGATACTTCTGAAAAATTTAACTTCTCAATTAACGCTGTTCTGATTTTCATACATCTTTCACAGTTCCAGCTTTGCCAATCTTTTTTAAAACTGAAAGAAAAATAATTTTATTACCAGTACATTTATATTAAGTTTAGAGTAGTCTTTCTTTTAAGGGCAGCAAAAAAAAATTTTATCATATAATAAACCTCCCATAATCCTGAATAAACTAAAGATTAAAGTATTTAGTAATGTGAAACTGATTCTGCCTTTTCTTTTACAGATCAAAAATCTTACTTTTACCATAGCAGCTTTCAAATCCTAAATGTTAAATACAGTGATCAGTTAAACTCACCAGCTACACAAGGATATAAGACTTTGAGTGGAAGAATTGAATCTGCGGTAAGTAAATATTTGTCTTTGCTCTTTATTCCATCATAAAACAAATATGATAGTAAACCTATTTTTTTGTGATACATTTGCAATTGCTAGATGCTCTGCATTATTTTCCGCCCTTGAATGGTGAAAGATGTGTTTCTTTGTGCTTTTTCCAAGTTAACTAACTAGTATACTGGTTCTTATTCATATTTTCTTAAGTCATGAGTGAAAAGTGTCAGAAGGGTCATAACTAAATACATATTTTATATGATTATGACTTCAAAGACTGGAAGTCTATTTGTGCAAGTTAACCATTTATTACTTTTTTCCTTGAGATTGCCTTTAAGAATCCTTTTTATTTTGCCTTCATTCTTTTTTCCTTATCCAACTAAATACAGAGGTAGTAGGTGTTAAAAGACATCTTTGCATATCAATAATTACAGTTTGGACAACATCACACTGGTTCAATGATAGACATAGAATCTATGCAAAGCAAGCTTGGGCTTTTGCTTGAAGAGGCCAGCAGCCTGCCTGACAGAAAACTTCACAAGTGGACCCTTAGCATTTGTTTATCATCACAGACCAGGGTCTCATGTTCAGCTCTGCAGAGTCAGAGTTGACCAGTCTCAGAGTTGCTCACTTACTCTTGCCTTTTTAAGAGTCTGAAGAATATAAATTAATCCGATGGCTCTAAAACTTTAGCATGTAACAGAATCACCTATATTATTAACATCTTACATACAATAGTGTATTTGTTATAATTAATGAACCAATGTTGATATGTTTTTGTTAACCAAATTTCATATTTTATTCAGATTTCTTTAGTTTTTTTTGTTTGTTTGTTTGT